CATGAATTTAATATGGAAACAAGTAATAATCCACAGAAAGGAGTCTGTTCCTCGAAGCAAGATTTTCGCTTAATGCTTTTATTTTTACAACTGAGACGGCAACCCGGAATGTTCAATATAACTTCTTGTTCTCTTCACCTAAATGGCAACCAGGACAACCTGACAATAGGAAGCCATTCAATGTGCGTCTCAGTCAAATCTTGAAAACATGCATCGTAAATAACCAAGTGAGTAAGTAGGTAAGGAAATAATAACGCCCGATACCATGAAGCTGAAAAAGAAAGTAAACCAGACACTGAAAACGGTAAGTTATCAACTCCACCAGAGCTAAGAAAAGACAATAAATTAGGTAAGTAATTCCAGATTCCAGGTACTGGATTGAAGTCTTTGTCAGTAGAACCAAGAGACTTTGGTCTATTCCGTCTTGGTAGAACTTGGATTCCGGATTTCAATCGTTAGTGGGAACAAACTCCTTTCTGTGGGCAAGAGAGGATAAAGCTCGAGCTTTATCCTCTCTTGCTGTGGATTATTACTTGTTTCTATATTAAAATCATGCCTTGAATACCCACTTGAATGTACTTTACTCGCACTTAAAGCCCAACGTCTCTCCTCCTCTTTCCAGTTACTTGAGCAAAGAGTTTATTTTGGGAGTTTGCGACCAGGAAGTTTTTCAACAAGCGTTTTCTTTATTTTTGCCGAAAACATTTGTTAAAATTGAAACAGTTCTCGTTTCTTCTACCGACAGACTCGTAGCTTTTCGAGCCCGAGTTAGCCCTTTTTTATAAAAGGTTTTAAGTTGTTGTAACGTATATGATTTATAGTCTATGAAGTATATCGCACATTTTTCAGTGAATGCACCCCTAAGAATTTGTCAGCAATTCATAGACAAGAAGAAAACAATGGTAACTCAGGGTAACATTTTTTATCAGATACTGTTATGCATAAGTAAATTCAAAGCTGAATTTATAGATAACTGGGCCCGATAGAAAGAAAACAAAATGAACTTGCGGTGAACACAAAAGTCGGCCAGCTTTTTCTTTTACGTCTTTTCTTGAGACATTATTTTGTTGACTCTAACATCCGTAACCTGTAAATTGGTTACCGCAGAGTATCATGCATAAAAACGATTTTTTTCCCTTTATATTTTTTTCATATCACTCGTTTTCACTCAGTTACCTCGAACCCCAAATCATTTTCCCCTGCCGCGACATTGGACCCGCGACCGCGACTTTGGACCCGCGACCGCGACATTGGACCCGCGACCGCGACATTGGACCTGCGACCGCGACTGTGGACCCGCGACCCGCGACCCGCGACTATTAGTCAAACTCAAATTCAACCGATTGCTCCCGATAAAAGAGTGCGACCCAAAGCTTCCAATTTACTAGTTGATTTAATTGAGCCTTTATCTTTAAAATAATACAGGTCAGAATCATCAACACCTTTTCGTTTAGAAAATCTGAGGAAAGCCCCTTTGACCCACTTAGCGAAAACATACGATTTTAGCCAAATTCAGTGGATTAAATCTCAAACGTGGCTCACACTTACATACTCTCCTGCATGTCATTGTGTAGTTCAATCCTTCAGCTACTGAATCGTGTTGGAGACGTAGGACATCTGCTATTTGGAGTATACTTGCAGACCTGAACAGACCTTTATCTCCTAAACTTCCCGATGAAGATGCACTATCGATATCAGCTTACATCGACCAAGGTTAGCACGTTTTAGATTTTTCTTAAACTTGGAATTATTTTGAAGAAATAATAAACCAATTATTGAATTCGGCTTCCGTAGGATATGAAGAATTCTACCGATCTCGAAGGGTGTTATCCACCTCGGCCATGGGCCTCGGTAGATAACATTCTCGATCTGCAGAATTCTTCACATCCTACGAAAGCCGAATTCAATAATTGCTAATTACACCAGGGATGACCCTTACAAGTTTTGAGTGCAGCACTTGGACATTGCTATAGCCAATAGTACCGCAGAGTCACTGAACTTTTGGCTGATTAAACTGGTGAAAGATCGAAGTTTAATTTTGTGCAACAGTTAATTCACTGCATGTAATTTTGAAAGAACATTAAATATTCGCCCACCATTTATTGTGTCAGTTGCTGTGCTGCTGACTAATATTCATACGACACGTGCAGTGACTTTAAATCTGATAAAACACCACATACTAATAAGGGGAGCTTTTATTCATATAAAGTCACTGTGATGTATTATTGACCATTTGATAGGTTAATGCGTTATTAAAGCACTTGGAAAGAAAAGAGCAAACTCAAATAGAGTCGCAAGTCAATCGCCCATCTTCTGAAATTCCACACGAGAGACGCATACATTTGCAGGTTCCCTCGCGAGTTTGTGACGTTGAGGGTGGCGCAGTTTGTTCTAAATATAGTACATTTTGCTATTTCGATAGAACCGCAAGGACCCCGCGCTTGCAGTCTCCTACCCTGATTATGGCTTCTGGTGAATAGTTATATTGTTAAACAATCAGAGACCGGCCAAACGGAGTACCATTCTCTAGCAAATCTAGATTTCACTTAATGAAGCAGACTCTTACCTTCTTTGGGAAAGTTTACATCTGAAAGATCAGGGGAGGGCAAGTCTGGTTTTTCATCACTGTACTTTTTGAAAGCGTCTGTGTTCGGCTGAGTTTCATCTTCTTCAAAAGAACCTGTTATGCGGGGATGAAATTAGTCAAAGGAATCTGGGATTTGAAACAGAGAGATAGGACTAAAAGACACTACGTACTTAAAGGAGCTATGTCACGAGAATATTGCAGATTTGGTCATTTCAGTTGAACAGAATCAAATCGAAGTATGTGTTGAAGTCATTACTGAAAGCCTTTTCCTTTACAGTTATGAAGAAGATACCAAATAATTTTAAATAAAGAGCTATAACCGTACAACTGTTTTGGTTATTTTTGCAGGCATAGCAGTAAAACGTGAAGAGGTTTCAAGTTTTAATCCACGTTTATCCTTTCCATCCACAGAAACAGGACGACAGGAAAAAGTTTTAAAGCCTAAATATATTCTTTAACAAGAAACCTTCAAAATTATTTTGGAATTCAATTGGCGCGAAGACACGTTAAAAAGATAGAAAAAAGCGTAACATACCCCTTTAAATGCATAAACTATTTTAGTGGCAACTGACTTTAATTAGAGTTAGTTGTAGGGAAACTTTAGCAAATTGAATAAATCAGATGGATTAGGAATAAAATACTTAATCTTCGTTGTATAAAAACCTCTTATTAGAGACCTTTAGATTCGCAGACGAGCACGACTATGAGTACGAGATTTTCTCAATACTAAGTAGTAAGAGCGTGCGTGAACCAGCGTCATTTTGGGAGGAAAACGTGATAGTCGTCGTCATTCACTACTAGTTTTAGCGAGAATGTCCTGTTAACGGGCACAAGTTACAAAGTGTTATAGGTTGTATTATTTTGCGGCTGGGAAATAGCTTAACCTCACCCAATAAAGAAAACAGTGCTAATATTTTTGGTGAAAAAGATGTACAATGAAGCTATCCGGGGTGTCTATTATTTGAGAATAGCGAAAAAAAATTTAGTGAAATCTCGTACTCGTAGTCATTCTCATCCTAGAATCTAAAGGTCTCTATTTACATTTAAAGAAAATACTCATGAATTTTTCTAAAACTGGTTCTTTCCTAAACTTTTACTGGGTAGCCATGACTGAAAACAAACAAACAATGTAACAACAACAACAACAACAACAACATAATTTTATAACGTTTGATATCAGTTTGATCATATGAAGAGTTAATACTATTAATACCTTCAAAAGATATTTCTGAGCTGTTATCGTCAGAATCAGACTTCGATTGAGGTGACAGATTACCGGAAGACGTCTCAACATCCCCAAAGTAGCCTGTATTATTGGTCAAATCATTCTCAGCCTGATAGTTTTCTTGGTCAACAGCAATACCTGTTTCAATCAAAGACATTTAATGAATGATACCTCAGTGCTCGGTGTGTGCCAGGTATGCAGTATGTAGAAACAGCCACCAAGTCACATGAAAAAATAGACTGTTCACAGTCCCCTATTTTTCCGTAAGATCGTCGAGATCGAGCGCTTTGCGTTACGGGCAGCTAACTTGGATGAGTGTTAAAACTTCTTAGGGGGCGGCCCCCACCCCCTGTGTAGTTTTGACACTCATTCAATATGGCCGCCCGTAACGCAAAGCGCTCGATCTTGTCGATCTTACGGAAAAAAGAGGGGACTGTGAACAGTCTAATCAGAAAAAAAAGGACAAAAAAACAAAACAAAACTACAATAAAAAAAAGTAAAGTGAACAAAAAAAAACAAAATAAAAAATAAGCAAACAAGCAGACAAACAAACAAATATAGGAAACCTCCTTGCTTACAGAAGTTTTTCTGCAGTTAGTTTGTACACCGATTTTACCTCTTTACTTCATGAATAAATAAGAGAGCAGTTTCAGAGAGGATTTGAAAGATTTTAGTTTAAACATGCCGCCAATTACTATATTAACTATTAACCGATCTACTTGTTAATAACCACACCTTAAAAGGAAAAAGAACAAAACAAACAAAAAGGAAAGACAAAACACAAACATAAATCTTACCACCAATCTTTTGTTCTGTAGCTCTTTCAACAAGAAAAACAAGCTCCGACCAGTCAATCTTCTGAACATCGTCTGGGAAAAACTCTGTATCCTCAGAGAATCTGTAGAGACAGTACACGACAGATAACGATGTCGGCTTTTATTGCATTATATATGCATCTTTGCTTCGATCATCTTGTTATCATTAATAAACACAGGGAAAGTATAGTAGGGTAAGCGGCTTGATGTTGTAAAGCTTGCAAGACCCCATTTTGTGAATCATATTTTTGTTTGATTAGACCTTTTAATGTTTAACGCCTGGGCCCAGTTGTTCAAAGGCCGATTAGCGCTTAACCCGGGGTTAAATTTAACCCCGGTTTCCTTTTTCTTATGTTCAAAAGTATTTTCTGGGATAATTTTCTCTGTTATTTTTAGAGCTTCCAATCATGAACCTGTAGACAAAAAGAATTAAAACTGAAATGCTTTTTAAGCTTTCAAATCTGAATTCAAATCTCACACTAACCCTGGGTTATCTTAACCCAGCTTTGAACAACTCGGCCCAGGAGAGGAAAACCAAGAAAAACTATGCGCCAACTTTTTCTCTTCATGCAATGGTCAATAAGGTCTAGTAGAAAGGATGGAAGTTGTCTAATACTCGCATTTTAAGGCATCTCTGACAATTTATGAAGATAGTTTACAACCAGGTAAAAAAAGTAGAATTTTTAAAGTTACCTCTTAGTTATGTCTGCAAGGAACTTTGCAGTCTCCTCATGTCCATTTTTCCTGGCTATTACCTCTGGTAATTGCGAAGTCTCCTTACAAGAATGGAGTAACATTCTTCCCACCGTAGATTTAAATATCGGCTCAATTAACCACTGAGCACCACTTGCTACTATTGCATTAACCAAATGTTGCAGTGACTGAAGCTGTTGGGTAAATCCTAAGTAAAGGTGTTCAGTGTTACGAAAGATGATAGAATTTAGGTCATGTCAGTAAATACATCTTTTGCTTGTGTTTTATGCTTTGCTTTTAACGATAAAAGCAAAACCTCAAACATTTAAAATTCGATACGTAAAAACAATATGTACAGTGGATCCTCGATTTAAGCAAGCTCAATTAAAGTCCTCGGTAGAATGAACGATATTCTAAATATCCTAATTGCAAAATGACTGGAAAGGAACCTCGATATAACCTTATATATATAACCTTATACCGAACATATACCGAACATATTTCGCCAGTCCCTTGGCCCTTCGTTAGACCGAGGTTCCACTCTAGTATGAAGACAGAGTGATTTCTCGCACCTTCAGTAGACAAGAGCTGTTGTCAACGATCTCTTTCTAGCCCTTTCAAGCATTAAAAGTTTCTGTAGATATTTTGGCTTTTGATTGACAGGGACTTCCATGCCGCAGAAAAAGACGTACTGAAAACTATCGCGCTGCAATGTATATCCGTTGGTATATTTCTAAGATTTGATAATGTCGTTATGATGTCATTTCACATTATACATTAGTCACCAATCTAAGAAAGATTGAAGAGTGAAGCTAATGACGTAATATAAGACGTCAGAGAGAAGGCAGTTTCTCCTTCTTCCACGTGCTCAGAAACTCAAACAAGCTCAGGTATATTAGTTATTAAGCAAGAACAAATAACGTAACTTACCACCATTTCCCGAACTGCCTGTATCACCTTGGGTATTCCCATTACTGCTCTCACCACTGGCAGAATTACTTGTATCACCGTGAGCATGGCCATTACTGCTCTCACCATTGGCAGAATTACTTGTATCACCGTGAGCATGGCCATCACTTCCATCATATTTACTGGCCAGGTGACGGAACAAAATTGGATATATGCGTGGGTCATCAACATATTCCACTTCCGTTTCCCCCAAAGGTCTATTATCTTCCGACTCTACTGACACTTTAACAATACAAGGCCTTGATGCAGCTGCAGTTTTACAAACAATAAAATTATTAAGGTTAAGCCAAAAAACTGAAAAGAGTATCGTTGTTAAAGTGCTATGCTTTTTTTTTTTTACTGTATTCTAATTTAGAAGATGTTTCGACGACTAACTTTGAAGGTGTCTCTGGCCTTACGTTGAATTTTAAATCGTTTGTCTAGTGTAATCTCTCTTAAAGGATAACAGTAAATTGGCCTTTAGTACCGTTCATGTGGGTTAAGTGAACAAACCATCCCTCTTTAAAAACACGTTTTTTTCCCACTGTTGGCTTCATTTTGTGAGGTATACATTACTTAAAAGTAAAGTTAAGTACAGAGAGTACTGAACCTTAAAAATTCCCATACTAGCATGTGCAGCCTTAATTCCTGGGGGGCACATACCCACACAAGACTAAAGTAAGCGCCCCCCCCCCCCACCCAGGAGGTCACGACCCCAAAAATACCTACACGGTTATGCGTCTAAATTTTGAAACCTGGATGGCATATGCTCACGCAAAACCTAAGGGGAAAATAATTAGCCCCACATCCCCACCCCACGGGTAATAATAAACACTTAATGACTGAAACAGTTGATTTTGTTTCGCGAGAATCTCAATGTTTTCCGAGGCGAGGACGAAGGAAACATTGAGATTCGAGAGAAACACAATTAAGTGTTTCCCTCGGGACAACTCATTAAGTGATTTGTTATATAGCTGGACATTTAGAAGCTTGAAATTCATTAAACCTCGCTGTAACGGCGGTCTCAACATGTGCACTGTTACCCTCTGACGTCATAGATTTTAAAATGTTGCCCACTCAGAGATTTTTGCGGGAAAGAGTTTCATTGTTAGATGTTCAATAAATTAAAAACAATATCCATAGCCGATGTCACTGTGAGATTGCACTGTTTAACATGGGGCAAATTGTGATTTCATGACAGTAATGATTCTTTGATATTATGCCTCGCAGTAGAAGATAAATACAATAAAAGCAATATTTCTGAAAATAATGAATCAATCAAATTAAAACTCGGCATCAGCAATGTACTGTACGAAAGACGCAAAATGACGCTTACTATGATATTGTTATCGCAACAGTCTTGGTTTGAGTCTCTTTCTGCGTCGAAACAAACATTACCATTAATTTACGAGTGTTAAAAAAAAATACAAAATCTTTGAAATGCCCATGAACATATTTAAATTATTTTTCAATTACTTATCTCCTAGCATCTATTGCCTGAATTCCTAAACAAAAACTTTATGCTTACCAGCATTTTGAGAATTACGCAATATGATATCACGCATATTAATGAAACTCTTATAGTAAGCTTGGGCTACCTGTGTATAGACAAGGCCGTATTTTTGTATTTTACAAGTGGACATACCTGGCATTCTCTCTCCTGAAAAGGTGTTATCATTCAGTCTCTCTCTCAACAAAGCGTCTCCCAAAGATTCAAATTTTGCTCTCAATGATTGAACTTCGCTTGGGGGAGGATGTTCGAATTTTACAAGAAAAATGGGTGCACCCTTAACGAAAAGAAAAACAAAAAATCTTCAGTTTTTAATATAGATGTTTCCCGCATTCCTGTAATCAAAGGCATCAAATCGAGGCTCGGGTGGACAAAATACATTGATTTATATAAAATTGTCCTCCCGAGTCTCAACAGGTAAGGTAACCCAAGTGCAACTCAAGATTGTTTTGGCGGGAAATCGCATAGCCATCGGCGTCCTGTAAAGCAGAGACAACTAAAGAGTCCACAAAGACGAAAGCGGAAAGCGGAGATTGTTTGTCTAAAGTATTAAGCTTAAAAAAAGTGATCGAGAACACGTACAACATTTTCTCCCAAAAACGTGTAACTAAGAAGTTTGTGCAAATTTCACGTTGTAGTCGTATAAAACAACGGCAAAGAAATGTACAAAAAAAGTGCTGCACGTGCAAAGTTGTTTTTCTTGCTAATTAGACCTTTTGTTTTTTTGTTTTTGTTTTTTACCGTTCTCCAGCGTTGCCTTCGCCGCTTAGCATTACACGATTTTATATTTTCTTTGAACAAACTATAAATATTATCGAGAGCTTCGCTTTTAGCCCTGGCTAAATCTATTTGGTAAAATCCAACTAGTGGTCTATTATCAATGCTGAGTTCTGAGTCAATAGCCCATTCGGCCTTCGGCCTTATGGGCTATTGACTCAGAGCCCGTTCGGGTTCGAGGAATGATTGTTAAGTATTAGCCTTATATGTACACCCAGAAATAGCAATCATCTTCGATCACATTTAAGAGCCATAATGTTTCTTGATCACAGTAGATTAAGCCTGGAAAAAAATTCTCGGACAACAAATCAGGACGAATTTTCTCCCTTCGACAAGTTTTCGTCAAGGATGATGATGAAGTTTATTTCTTTCCTTCACTGCACGAGTGCAACAGAAATTTCCCTAACGCAAAAAAATCTCATTTCTGTTTTTAAAAAACTTGGATACGGTATGCAGTATTAGTTGCCACCAATTCAGCTACACAGAAAATTTGCAACAGTTGACAAATTGACCCAGTTGGTATCATCGCAGGTAAGTTTAAAAGATCGCAAATGCTATCTGATCTACCGCGCAAGTAAGAACCTTTTTAGCCCAAAATTTAAATGACAGGTTCTTCTAAAATGTATGTATAATAGTGTGTACCCTCAAGGATGGCCTTAAATTAATGTGACCAGTGCTTCATAGTCTTATTACAGTCATTTGTACATAAATTTGCAGATGTGCGAAGATTTTCTTGTAACGAGTAGGCTTAATATAGCTTTAGATTGTTTTCACTGCAATGTAGTTATTTTCTTTAAATTATTAGAACTATCTCAATTATGCTCGGTTACATTAACGATATAACAATTAAAAGTGTACTGTATTTCCTGTTTCTCGGCTCACAAGCAAGACTGGGAGCGGACAATTTGTAATTTTTACTTGGGGAATATCTTTTTAATTGAACGATAGCAGCCTTACATGTACAAACGTTTATTTCTGACCCTGTAGCCTTACTCTTGCTTTCCAACGTTAATTAAAACAAACCTACAATTTTCTTAAAAATTGATTGGGGAGTTACTAAATAGGGGAGCGAATCGGGGAGACCGAAAATGGAAACGAAACCTCAATTTGACCTTGGCCCTATTACCAACTCCTTAGCACAAACTTTATTTGTCTTCCCATTTTCTTGTTCCGTTTGCTCGTTACTCCTCCCCGTGGTCCATTCTAGCATCCTTTTAGTTAAATATTTCATCGAACTACCGTAAAGTTTCTTGTTATCAACCGCAGTAAGGGGCTTTTCAGTCCGCTCTTGTTTAACAAGAAGACAATATAAAAAATGATTGCAATGTTGAAAACAACAACAACACGCAAACAAACAAAAAACAATAACTATACCTGATAAATAGGAACCCGCTCAGGATTTATTTCTGGCTTAAAATCTTGTTTTGTTTCTGTTCTGATTAGTT